ATCCTTTTAGACAGTAGTGGAAATGGGCAATCACCCACTTGATAAAGACATATGTAAACCAGCTAAAGGACTTCTGAATTTTTAATAAATTATGTTTTCTTGCTTATATTTTATCAGGCTTAACACTGAGCAAATTTTACCCCTAGATATTGGATATTATCTGCCCATCTTTCTTGAACATCTTTTCTCAAGTTTGTGGGTGCTTCTTTGTTAACCTCCTGGGCATTTCCTGGCCTTCGACGTTTGTTTCCAATTTTCTCCTCTGCACCATCTCACACCTATTTTCAGGTCTGCTGGCTTCTGCTAGGTTTCAAGTAACCATTTTCAGAAACTACTTTATGTTAAACTTTTCATGGATTCTGATAGATTCAAATATCATGTTTTCAGATAATATATCTCTAGAAAGAAATTTTGTGGTGATAATGCTTTAGGCAAAAAATGGCAAAAGTTTCAGAAGCCTGCTCTGGCCAGTGGGGAAGACCATTTTGGAAAGGACATTTTAAGATACTTTGCATAAGTTGCTTTCCGCACCGCCCATGCTTTTTGGTCTTTCCTGCATTAAACCAGAGAAAATTTAGCAAGTCAAGGTGAAATTTATGCTAAATATTTTTTGAAGATAATTTTAAGACTAGATAGGGTTGAACAGAGTTGGACTCTTTTGTTTATTTCCTGTTAGGAGGTGAACCTGTGCCATTCTCTTTTCCATATCTGCTTACACCTATTTTGTAAGTTCATTCAGTTTGGACATGAGGACTTCTGACTACATCTCAAGATATTCTTTGATTTTGTATTGTGGAACAATGAAGGATTTTAAAAGGCTAAATCTAGTAACTCAAAAGATATTTAAAACTTTTATGGGTAATGAAGAGTGGAGATGTTTTCAGCTTTTTCTGTAATAAGCTGTTATGAGAACAGTCTTAGGAAGCTTTATTCATGGTCCAAAAGACCATTGATTAGCAGATGTGAGAGCAGTAGAGTATATTTTATGGCTTAAAGGATTATGCTAACATGAATAATCACATGCAACTTACTCCAAGAGGATCCATTTATATCTTTCACAGAATCATAAATTCAGCAGAAATTTTTACAAGTCATTTAGTTTCTCCTCCACTTTTAAACAGGATACTTTCCTCCAACCCCTATATGCTGTTTCCCAAGCATTGGTGTCATGAATATTGTGCAAGAAAGGAAAGCTTCCATGGTTACAAAATTTGACAAACTGAATACTATTTGCTTCTCTTGGAAATAATATCATAGACTCTGGAAGTTGTACCCAGACCACAACATCTAAAGAGTAACTACAACACAAAATACAACAATAGCAATATATAAAAAATAAAAAATAAGTACATAAGAGATTAAGATATGAAGCTGGTTGGGAATCATTGGTTTGATCACAGGATGCCATCCCAGGGAACTGAGGGATGTGGTGTTGAGGGTCCTGATTACCTGGGAAGGTAGATAGGACAGTATCTATCCACTATGAGCAGTACACCGTCTTCAAATACAGGAGATAAAAAAGGGAAGAAATTAGAAAATGGCTATTTTATTTTCATAATGAAGTAATTCAGGCACATTCACTACTGAAAAAGAAATTCTCTAAAACATATCTCTGAGCAAATACAGTCATGACCATGTGTTGCATTTAAGTAATATAGTGTTCTGCAAAAATATTTTTGACGGTTACATTGCTATAGCCTGTTTTTAGCAAAAAGTATAATTGTGTATCAATGATGAAATGGTACCTTAATAAAATAATAATCCCATACCTATCTACTGGTACCTCTAACTTCTTTATGAACTGAAAGTTATTTTACGCATGTGTAGGTAAACCAGAGGAGGAATTAAGTAAATTAAGCAGGGTTAATTTCTCCTAGGAGTATTTTAGTAGCGATCCAAGCAGCCAGTTTTATATTCTGAAGGATGTAGACTTTGGATAAAATATTGAAGGTCAAGTGGAATTTGGATAGACTGAGAAGAAAGGAAACACAAATTACATAGAGGGGAAAATATGTGTAAAGTGTGGAGCTGAAAAATGAGTTTGTAATATATAAAGAAGAGTGAAAAAAAAAAAGAATTCCCAAATAACCAATATATTTAGGATTCTTTGCCTCTTTCTCTCACTGTTCCTCAGGAAGAGTTGTGTCTAAGTTGTGTCTTTGAAGAACTAGAAACACTCTCAAATATTATATTTCCAAACTTAAACAATAGCAGTAATTTTGATCTGTGTCAGAAAAAAAATAAATCCACATATGATATGTCAAAAGCAACTCTTCTGCCAGGCATGCAGGGCCCTGCAGAGCAAGATCCCATTTGCTAAGCCAAGATGGCTACCATTTCTCGCCATCATGAACTCTGTTCCCATGGAATGACTCTTCTTCCATCCCTTTTACACTTTATGTTCATTTCTGCCTCCAAATCTTAGCTCATGTCATTTTCTCACTGAAAACATTCTCTATAGTTTTTGTTGCTTACTAAAGCCCCTTAAGGGCTCAAGCAAAGTTTTATGTTATAATTTTCATTATTAGCATATTGAGTCTTAAGCTGTGCAAAGGTGGGTACTTCTAGATATAGGAAGGACAATTCTTGATATTATACACACAATCTAGTTAATTCTTCAGAGAACAGAATTATTTCCTTGCTTGACAAATTATTGTCTAGGCCAGGTACGGTGGTCACACTTGTAATCCCAGAGCTTTGGGAGGCCAAAGTGGGAGGGGCCCTTGAGCCCAGGACAGGAGTTTGAGATCATGATGGGCAACATAGCGAGATACTGTCTCTGCAAATAATAATAATAATAAATTATCCAGGTGTTGTGGCATGCACCTGTGGTCCCAGCTAGTCAGGAGGCTAATTCGAGAGGCTCACCTGGGCCCAGGAGGTTGAGGATGTAGTGAGAAAATGATCACGCCACTGCACTCCAGCCTGGGCAACAGAGTGAGACCCTGTCTCAAAAAAAATTGTCTAAAATAAAATAAAGCAGGATTTTGTTATGATAGTAATGATAGATATCCTCCTGAAGTCTAATAACATGGTAAACCTCTATTATCCTACCTCATAATGCTGGGTTTATAGTAAATGTTCAGTGAATACTCACAGGCATACCTTGATTCAGCATAGGACCCTGAGCAAATCTGTTATACTATCGCTATGTCTTGATGGATAGGCAAGTTTGGGAAAAGTAAGCATCTCAGCACATAATAAATAGAGAGGACACCCCCCTCCCATCTATAATATGCTTTTGAATCCAATATCCTATTGCTCCTACAACAAGCATGATGATGGATAAGAAGGAGACTGCCCATTTTACAGATGAAGTGGTTGTGGTTCAGAGAGTTTAAATAATTTGCTCAAGATCAGAGGGTGGGTGTCAAAGCTGGAATCCAACCCTCATCTTATGATTCTGAATCTAGGGTGGAGAACAGGACTGGAAGGCAAGTTGGGCCTAGGGAATCCTTGGGGAGGAGAAAGTTTACCAGAAGAAGGGGAAGTCGAAGGGGAATCAGGAGTTTGAAATGTAAAGATAAACTTCGACTTGGGGTAGGTCTTGGGATGCGGCAGCCAAAGATTTCTCCTAGGGCTTTCTAACAATCTCAGGGGGAAGGGTTTGGAATGAACATTAGCATATGACTGTCCTCAAACTGTGTAGAAGCAGACAGTAGTTTCAGCCTGTTAGTGACCCTCTCAGTTTCTGGCCACTGAGAGGGTCACTAACCTTCCTCTGTAAGCTGTAAATTGGCAGTTAGAAAAGGGTTAAATCCATGTTTTTTGCAGATGTGAATTACATGGTTAGATATTTCCCGATCACCCTGTCACCACCTGTGAGGCCCACAACTCTGTTCCATTTGCTGTCTGATATAATGCCCCAGATTGTTGCCTAGAGAGCTGAACAGTGACATCTATTGGTTAGATTTGAAATACACAAGTTCAAAAGAGAGAAACAGCCACATTAGTATTTCTTCCCCTTTTGAAACAAATAGTAACAATCATGCCAAAGGAGTGACCCTTCGAAAAGAAGTTATGACATCAGCGGTACACTTTATCTGAAGAACAACACACGACTCCAAGTTTTAGGATGAGGGATATTGTATGACTTTTATTTTTGCAGAGAGCCCATCAAAGACCGTGTAAGCCTTTTAAAACCCCAATTTGAAAGAAACAGTACTAAGACCTGTATATTTGGGAAGTTCCTCATTGCTCAAGATTTCATCCTAAAGTATAAATAAGCAAATTGAAAATATAGATTTAGGGCAGTAGTTAGAAATAATGAAATTGCTTTCTCTTTTAGGAAACTTGAGAAACAAACCTTCCTGTGGATGTGCCTGTGAGCTACAACCCAGCTTGAATACTTTCTAAATGGCTCCAAATTTCAAGATCACTTTGACAGTCACCTAGTTCTTAGCTTCAATAAATGCAGTGTCCATGTTCCTTTATACTGAATATTCTATTTCTTTCCTTATAAAACTCTAAACCTCATTGAATGTGCAATGGAAATGCTCTTCTGGGCAATATGGATAATTAAAAAATACTATACTCTGACAAATTATATATATATATATATATATATACGTATATATATATATATACACACACACACACACACATAACTGTGTGTGTGTGTGTGTGTGTGTGTGTGTGCGCGCGCGCTCACTGCACATATCATTTCCTGCTCAGACCTATACAAAAATTGCTAAGAAACAGTAAAATGGACAGTTTGGCCTTCAACCTTTTATCCACCCAAGGGAGCTAAGAAGTGGCTCAAAGAGGGTAGCATGAGAAAACAGAGGAGAAAATGAAGGGTTGGATAATCTGCAAACTGAATAACTAAGTAATGACATAACTGGATCATTGAAAAACCGTTAAAAATTTTACCAGCTATTAGAGAATCATGCATGACCCTGGAAACTTGCTTTTCGTTTAAAAACAGGAGCCAGAATTAAGAAATGGTTCAAGCTGGCTTATTCGAGCCTGCTGAGATCTCTTCTGATTTGCTTTTCAGACCCTGCGGTTCCAGCACAGAATGGCATTAAACCACACCTCGCTGCCTCAGGATGAGCGCCTGCCACACTACCTTCGAGATGGGGATCCCTTTGCTTCCAAACTTTCTTGGGAAGCGGATTTAGTGGCTGGCTTTTACCTGACAATAATTGGTAAGGTTCCTTAATTCTTCTGTACAAAGGCTGCATTTAGAAAATTCATGGACTGATGGGTTAATTTTGTAAAAGAATTTCAATACTTAAGTGGATACTTTAGTAGAGGTGAAGAGGGGGGAAGGCAGAAGATGGAGTGGCATTATGGCATTCAATAAATGTTTCCTAGAAATGACTCTTTATTATTATTATTATTAGGAATAAAATTCCATTGATAATCCAAAGAACTCTTACAGCAAAATTATGTATCTTGAGATTGTATTTCATTTTGGGTACTTTGGGAGTAGATTTACTTTCTGAATACAGAAATTAATGATAATGATATTTTATTTAAACAGAGTGCTTTTCTTTTCTAAAAATGTTTTTGATATAGTCATAAGATTTTAGATTGAGAATGAGTCTTAGAAATAATCTGGTTCAGCCTCCTGTTCTCACAGCTGAGCAAACTCAGTTGTGCTATAGTGCTATAGTAATGGTAGAAATAGTGAGTTTACTTCGCCTAAAAGTAAAGTTGTATCATGACAGCATAGCTAAGTAAGAGTTGAAAAATGTATTGGTGATAAACGGAAGAAAGTCCAGGGTTAAAAGAGCTTTGTGCATAATTGACTAAGGGGTGAACCTGCTTCTAGACTGCATGATCTCATTCATTCAGTAGCCACATGTGGCTTTTCCAAATTGAAAGGGGCCGTAGTGTAAATACTCACCAGATACTGAAGGCTCAGTACGAGAAAAAGTGGTACAAAATATCTCATTAATAATTTTTAAAAATTAAATACATGCTGAACGTGCAACATTTTGCGTATGTTAAGCTAAATAAAATATATTATTAAAATTAATTTGCCAGTAAATTTTTGCTTTGTTTAATGGCTACCAGAAAATTTTATAATCCATATGTGGCTCACATTTCTGGCTTACATTACATTTCTATTGGACAGCACTAATCCAGACAATTAGGATTTAACCACCACACTTTTCTTAAATTTAAAATCATTGTTTTAAATTTGGGTGACCAGTGCGAAGGTGGGTGATGTCTTTAGGTTTGTTTGCCTTTAATTTTTTCAAATGTTGGGTCAAACTTGCTCTCTCCCTCTTTTTTCTCTTTGTTTCTATCTTTCTCTTTCACCCTTCTTCCCTCCCTTCCTCCCTTTCTCTCTTTCTCTCCCTCTCTCATCTATTTATTACTGGCTAAGAATTTCATTTAACCTCCTGAAATTAGCAAAACTCATTAGAAAGTACTTGATATCCCTCTATGGTCAGTGCTTGAGGCAAAAGGAATTCATGTGATTCAACCAAATTCTGCTGTACAGTGATTCCCTGGGTCCTTGTCTTTATTGTTGCTAGTGTTTACTAGCTTAAATCGTTTCTTATAAATGAGACCTCATTTCTTTTCCACATAAATATATATTGTGCACCCACCCTTGGCCACTGTTTTAAGTTGCTGGGAATAGAGCAGCGAATAAAATGGGCAAACATTCTGCTGGTACAGAGACTATCTTATCACTGCAAAATCCACATTTCATTTTGATTAAACTTAAGTACTTTTCACTACCAGACAGGCAGAAAAATCAGCAGCTTATCAATTGAATTTAGCATAGCTTCATCACTTTCAAGGAATGAATTAAAAAGTAACATCAATAACCTGACAGATTTCTCCAGACTTCACAAAATAGAGAGGCGTATCAGTCCATTCCCAATCTTAAGCATGAAGGATTGCAGAAAGAGAGGCAACCAGGGTGGAGAAATCAGGAGGATTTCCCATCTGATGCACATGGAGTTGGAAGGAAAATCCACAATCATATTCCAGTGGGTTTGCTGAGATGAAGCCAGAAAAATAGATTAAAAAAGAGTCCCCACACAAGGGGGGGCTTCAGGAGGATCAGGGCGCTGGAAGGAGGAGCCAATGGTATGTTAGAGAACAGTCATGAAGGGTGAGCAGAGGGGTCTGCTGTAGGGGTTTGGACTCACCTTTGACCCACTTCTTGGGCTTTGCTGTGTGTGTGGTTTTCAATCTCCTAGAATAGGATAGTGTAGATGTGCCAGGATTTATATTTATTTATTTATTTAGTTTTTGAGATAGAGTCTCACCTTGTCACCCAGGTTGGAGTGTAGTGGTGCGATCTCAGCTCACTGCAACCTCCACCTCCCAGGTTCAAATGATTCTCATGCCTCACCCTCCTGTGTAGCTGGGGCTACAGGTGCATACCACCCATGCATGGCTAAGTTTTGTACCTTTTAGTAGAGACGGGGTTTTGCCATGTTGGCCAGGCTGGTCTCCATCTCCTGGCCTCAAGTGAACTGCCCACCTCGGCCTCCCAAAATGCTGGGATTACAGGTGTGAGCCATCGTGCCTGGGCAAGATGTGTGTGCCCAGATTGCTTTTAAGGAGCCACAGTGGAATTAACATTCTTGGTGGGCTTTGTTAAATACTAGAAGTCTTAACAGACAATTGAAAGACAGCAACGTAAATCTGAGTTTGAAATACAGGAGAAATAAATTACAAATCCATTTTCCACCTCCTGTACCTTTACCACTATTGTAAATACTACATTTATTAACAGTCAATATATATGATATTTTTGTATCCATAAATGATATAAGATTTGATAATCTAAAAGTCTCCCCACTTTGGTCTTTATCTTCTTAATCTGGTTGTCTTTTCACTAACATTGAGAATAAATTTGTTTTCTCCTGACACTCATCTATAACTTATTTATATTGCTTGTGGGAATAGTTTACATCCAAAATATAGAGATGACTATTTTTTTGATAATGCTTTGGCCACTGGGTAAAACCTTATGAAGGAGGGTTGGTAAAGAAAATTTAAGGAAGGAAAAGGAAGGAAACAAATATTCTCAAAAGATATATAGACAGGTGAAGGTTGTTTAAATCAGCCTTGTGTATCAAATGTATATGCTACTTGTTCTTAATCTTTGTGGATACAAAGTAGGTGGCATTTAGTTTATAATTTTTCAAGCCATGTTTTCACATTTTACTTTCCCAATGGGCTGTCCTAGCTGGTTTCCTTGAATGAGACCTAAGTTTCATTTTAGTTGGTTTGCTCTAGAACTCCATAATCTCTGTTATTTTTCTCTTCCACTTTAAGAAAGCTAAAGAGGTTTTAACGGACCATTAAGCAGCACTGACTCCAGGGAGTCAGAATTTCCTGAGCACCATGCAGTTAGTTCCTGGTGGTTTCACACCATCAGCTGAATCACACATTTCTTTCTTTGCCCCCAAATGAATTGTGGTGGAGAAGTAGAAATTAAAATAGAAAACTCTGGGTTTCTCCTGTTAATACTCTCCTTATTCCTTACTACTAAAGGCAGCTGTACCAGATTCTCATTTATACACAGCTACACTATGAAGCAAGAATTCCTGAAGAAATCTACTCTACATGTTAAGCTATGGAAGTAGGTGTATTCTTTTCTTAAATAAAGTCAGTAGGGATTGGGTCTTTTTGGATTTAAACTGGGTTTGTAAGAACTTTCAAACAGTTTCATTGTAATGCCAAAGCCAATTAGTCATTAATAAAAGGATATTAAAAAGTGGGAACACATTTATGGCATTGTTGGTAGGTTCGTGGGTTGAGGGTCACTTTCTCTCCCCTTGGTGGGAGGGACAGTGCCAGGTTCTCGACTGTCACCTACTTACCCTTGATATTTAGTCCAGTAGCAGCTGAAGGCTGTCCTATCTGCCAGACACTCAGTGTCCACGTCTCCCGAAGAGGTGAAAGTCCTGGGACGTCCCTGGGAGATGTCCATTTTCTTGAAGGGAGTTACGCCGGTGGTATCTGGCCTCTGCCTCTCCTGAACACTGGTGCTCTCTTAGGAGTTCACAGTGATACTGAAGGCAACTTCTTTGGTTGGCTTCATCTTCAGAATTTGTCAAGAGCTAAGGGTTTAACCCTACTTCTCAGAGGGAGGGAGTTCTATAAAGCCAATAATCTATAAAAATGGCTGAGGAAAGTACTCCACCCTGGGGGCCAGTACAAGAACTGACCATTGGGATTCCCACACTTTCCTGAGCCTCACTGGGAAGTTAGCGATGCCTTTTTCTGGGTAAGTTCAGTCTTATAATCCCTGACTCCGCCCCATTGGCCTGTCACTCACAACTCATGCTGTTTATTTCATCTTCTTAATTTAGATTTTTTTATTTAGAGTCCTTTCACTACCCTCTAAATCTATGGTGTCCATTTTTGAAGTTGAGAAGTGTTTCATATCTGAGTGTGCTCTACGTCCTAGTTTTAACGATGGGAATTTTTATTTTTCCTTGTAGGGATTCTGTCCACATTTGGAAATGGATATGTCCTTTATATGTCTTCTAGACGAAAGAAGAAGCTGAGGCCCGCTGAAATAATGACTATCAATTTAGCGGTCTGTGATCTGGGGATTTCAGGTAACACAACCATGCTATTTTTTCTTTGTGAGTTTAAAGTGCCCCCCATTCTGAAGTACTCACTGGCTCAGATGTCAACCCCGACATCGCTTCCCATCATAGTTCCTTCTGCTCTTTGCTTCACAAATCATCTTTTAGAGTTACGTGGCAAGTCAATGGGGTGCTGTCTGGCTGACAGGATCATTCACTTAATACTTATTGAGTCTTTGCTGTGTGTCAGGCATGTTAGATTCTGAAGACACGATTTGAAATTATACATGACACCTTAGATGTCTCAAAGTGTAGTGGGCTAAACGATTCAGAAATCAGAAATTTTGAGGCAAGTTCCAGGTCACTATTTTAAGCTTCTTTACAACCCTCTAACCGTTATGAAGTCTGATTAAAATAAACATCAACAGAGGGGTCTTGAAGGGTAAATGACAGTCGAAAACAGTTGAGAGGTGAATATAGGAAGAGGAAAGAGGTGCCCTGTTGATGATATATGTAATTATGGCATAGTGATAAATCACAAGCATAGGAAACTTCTGGCTCAGTGGTCCTCAAATACAACTCACAAAGTATCATCTGCGGAAGTTCTGATTTAAGTGGTTGAGAATGTTACCTGCGTATCAGGATATTTAAAATGAGGATCTACAGGTAAGTTAATGTGTGAACAAAATTGAGAAACACTGGTTTCTTTTTCGCTTCCCTAACAACACAGAAAGGAGCGGTTGGAATAAAATTTCTCTTTCGCTATGATTCACTTTTAAAAACATGAATCATTTTAAGTAAATCATTCTTCACTTTCTTCTATACAACTGCAGAGTTGCTTAGATAAACTCGAATCTGTCTTTGAATCCCAACATCTGCTATTTAGCTTATGGTTTAGGTCATTAAGAGTCGGGTAATTTGTTTGAACATACACAGCAGCTCCTCTTACCATTAGAAACTTGTTAGTAGTTTCCCATCAAAAGCCTCCTTTAAAAAATGCTTTCAGGCTGGGCATAGTGGCTTGCACCTGTAATCCCAAAGCTTTAGCAGGCTGAGATGGTTAGAAAGTTTGAGGCCATGAGTTCAGGATCAGCCTGGGCAATGTAGTGAAACTTCATCTCTAAAACAAGCTTATTCTTGAAGTCTGGGTTTTGAGTAAAACAAAACAAAACAAACAAAAAGTAGCTGGGCACTTGAGTCCAGGAGTTCAAGGCTGCAGTGAGCTCTGATAGTATCACTGCACTGGGTGAAAAAACGAGAGCTCAATTAAAAAAAAGGGTTTTCTGATATTTGTTTCTCTCTTCATAAGTGGATTTTTCTGCCGATCTCTAAAAACAAGGCTCAGTAATAATCATCTGCATATCGAATCACTGTTTGGCTCACAGCTGATGTGTGCTTACTCGCATGGTCTCAGGGAAGGCTGTACTTAGTATGGACCTGCATAAACATTATGAACTCTTATGGTGAATGCACATACATACACCTTAGGAAGAGCATGTTATGCCGGGTCCTTTTCTGTGAAAATAATCAGAACGAACCCCAGGGGCATTTGCGCGTCTGCAAAATGGCTGTCATTTTTACTTGTTGCCACGCGATGGCGGTGTCGCAACAGGAACGGTAGCTTTCTTGGCCAGCTCGTCCCAAGGGCCCCTAAGGTGCTCTACCTGCTGCGGAGCTTACCATGGCTGAATGAAACGTCATTCCAGCCACATCCTTCACCGGTGAATACTATCAGGCTCATGGCTGGACTAGACTAGGCTTGAATAAAAATGTCCTTAATTGGCCTGATATATTGAAAAATGCTTTCAACCAAGCAAGTCTGCTCGAGAATGGCACAAACCGCTTCATTACTCTGCTTATGTTTTCAGAGTAATTCACCAGAAACCATTTTCTTTCCTATACAGTAAGAGCTTTCTCTAACCAAGATCAGGTATTCAACTCCCGAGCATCTATAATACATTTTCCCTTCCAGTAAACCTTAAAACTTTGTCTGCTTTATTTTTTTTCTTGTTCAGCTATATTCCATTATAAGCACCCCCTGGAGGCCAGATGTATGGCATCTATAAACTAATACTTGTTGGCTAAATATCAAAGGCTCCCCATCACTTGTGCGCATTAGGATAACCTGGGGAGTTTTAAAAACATGAATGATGCCTGAACTCACTGCAGATAAATAACAATATTGGGAGGTTTGGGGGAAGGGATGGAACCCTGGATATTGATCTTTCAAGAGCAAAGCAAAACAACCCCTCCGGCGATTCTAATGTGCAGCTGGGTTCTGGAAACATTCTACTAAGTGGAAGGGAGAGCGGGACATTCTAGATAATACCCCAAAGGTTAATCCAAAGTGCTACTGAAGGAGAAAGCCTGAAATCGCTTTTGCTAATCCGGATCCCAGGCACAAACAGACACAATTTCACTCCATTCTGTCACTTTCACTTGTCGTTTTGCTGCCTTTAGCGCCAATCTGGCTGACACCCACCTGAAGCCTTCTAGTTTGCTGTTTCCTCTGCCTCTAATCCTTTCCGCCCAGAGTTTGTTTGACCTCTTTCCCATTGATTTAGGTGTCTACCTAAATGCCACATCTCAGATAAGTCTTCCTTTAATATGTTTATGTAAAACAACAATTTCTGTCTACCTGCTTTCTCTGCTTTATTTTCCTTCACAGTGCTAATCACTACCTATCATCCTGTCATACCACATCTTATATTAAAAATTTGGGTGCTTTTTTTTTTTTGTCTGCTTTCCCTGTTAGAAAATAAACTTGTCAGTCTTGATCTTCACTTTGCCCTCTAGCACCTTGCTCTGGGTTTCTTACAAAGAAGAGACTGAAAAATTTGTTGTTGAATGGAAAAAAAAAACCCAACCCCCCAAAAACCCAAAGTAGAAGAATGCTTTCTAGAAAGTAAAAAAAGAAAAACCCAAACAGTTATTTTACACTGCATTTCCTTGTGGCCTCACTAGAATGAGGAGGCTCTCATATGAGGGCGTCCAGTCTAGCGAGCTGAAAGGTGGCCCTAACCGTCAGCTAGAGGAGATGAGTGTCTAGCTTGCAGAAGACACTCAGTAAATATGTGTTGATTGACTGAAGTAACAGGAACTCCTGAATACTTTTGTATACCATGCAGAACACACCTGGGAGGGCTGGGAGCTAACACCTGCAGGCTGTGAATGTCAGCTACTTCGCTTTCCTAAAGCACTCAGGTTAGGGAACCTTCTTTTATGACGTAGATCAGTTAGAGGTTTGAAGAGCTTCCTCAGCACATTCTTTTATATGAGGGACTGAATACAATAACTGAATAGGGAAGACTTCAGGGCATGATGTAAAAGTAGCAGAATGATTTCTAGAAAGTTAAAAAAAAAAAAAAAGTAATGGCGGCCCAAGGAATATCTTAAGTCCCAGAAATCTGGATCTGGTTGTAAACAGCTTGGATCTCACATTTACTGAAATAGCCATACCGTATTTGAATAAGATATAACTCAACAGAACAAGAAAAAAAGAAACGACTGAAACAGATGGAAACATGAAAATCTGGTTCTAACCTTAACAAAAGGAATTTTTAGATAAAATTCCTAAACAATTTTTTTAAAAGCAGTGACTTTTTTTCTTTGAAAAAGAGCATGACTTAGAAGCCAAATATATAAAACAGGTGAAAAAAAGGTCTTTCCTGATTGACAGAAAGTGGAGGATGGAGCCCTGGGTGCTTGATATTTCTTTCCCTAAATAACCTACCTACTTCCCCTTCAGGGGTCTCTCTCTCTCTCTCTTTCAGAGGAACTCTATGAATCCCCTGTGTAATAATTAGGGTCCTCTCCAAATCTAATAATATCCTCCCTCCTTCACCTCCCCCCATCCTGTTGCTTCCCTGTGAACACTCAACTTTCTGGAGTTTTTAAAGCACTTTTTATTCATTGATAATAACAAAGAAATAGTAAAAGACTAAATATGTTCTATTTTTTAAATAAATAAAAGGACAAATTTGCATTTCTGAAAAAGTTGTCCACATCATTCTTTAAAATGTGTTTGGAACTCGCATCATCTTTCTCCAGTGCCCTTTATAATCTGTTTTCTCCAGAGTGCTGTTAAACCTCCTCCTTTTCTAAATTCACAGTGGTTAGTTCCCACTGATTCTCTAATTAAGGCTTTCTCTGATAACCTCTCTCTTTCCCCTCCCAAACCCTCTCACAGACACTTAACTCCTAGAATGCAAGGTTACCTTGGGGTGTTAGAAACCAAATTCCTCCTAGAAGGATGCAGCTGCCAAAAGAGAGAAAGAGAAAAAAAAACCCAATTCCCCTTTTCATTATAAGGAATCTCATACTTTATATCCTCTGGTTCTACAATGCCCCGCTTGGAGAAAGATGATGAGGTGGAGGGAAATCACCATTTTGCATATTCTTTTCGTTTTTCTCCTCTTTTTCTCTTCTCCATCTCTTCTTTCCACTATTTATTGAGACAATTTTCTGGAAGTGTGATTATTAAGAAAAATTGCATTGGTCCCAGGAATGTAAGTATGTTTCAAAAACCAATCTATTAATAACCAACATTAACAGATTCAATGAGAAAAAAAGTTATGAGCACCTCAGTAGATGCAGAAAAAGCATTTAATAAAACTTAATATCTATTTCTGGTAAAAAGAAAAAACAGACTAGTGTGAGAAAGAACTTCTCTAGAATAGAAACATTGTGCTTGAAGAAAATACTCAGACATTTGATACATGGCTTCTCTCTCTTAGCTTTCGAATCTTCATTTGGACTGCAACAAAACATTAAAAGTGACCAGATTGTTGTCACTGGCTACTAATATTATGCCGGTAATTTCTGAAGCCAGGTCTCTTTGAGACAGTTTTTAAAAAAGTAATAATTACTTAAAACTTTTCCTTCGATATCCTTTCACTGTCTTTGGCTATTGAGATGGAAAGTCCTCTCTGGGTAGCTTCAAACTGAGTTTATTCACAGATAACTACTGGACTTTATGAATTTAGAAAATCTGTGTAATCAAGGGTGTGTGTGTGTGTGTGTGTGTGTGTGTGTGTTTTCACATGTGCCCCTGTGCTTAGGGGAGGAGGTTCAGGTGAGTTGAGGTAGGTGGGGAAATAGTAACCATAGGGAACGTCTGCTGATAACTCACTTGGTGCTCTAGTTGTAGGCAAGCCGTTCACTATCATCTCTTGCTTCTGTCACCGCTGGGTGTTTGGCTGGATCGGCTGCCGCTGGTATGGATGGGCTGGATTTTTCTTTGGCTGTGGAAGCCTTATCACCATGACTGCTGTCAGCCTGGATCGATACTTGAAAATCTGCTATTTATCTTATGGTAAGTTGGCAGGTTTCTCATTCCCTGACAGTTAAAGCTAGGTGGATTGAGTGTTAGAACTGTACATGTTTTATGCAGGTAATAAACAAAGACTATTAATAACCTCAGAGATCAAGAATATTTTTACTTATAGCCTATCTTGTTCTGACATGTTTAAGGATTTGTACCTATATCAAAGTAGATTTCTTTTAATACATATTTTACAGTAATGTCTGGCGTTTGGCTACAATGCTTTTTAGAAAGTATCATTTTCTTGTATAGCGTGTAAGCTTCCATCATGTTTTTCCATGCAAACAAAAGAAATAAAGTGCATCGAAATGGTGTTAAGTCCAAGATGTTTAGCTCATTCCCCACCTAGTAAGTGTAATTATAAGAAAAGTTGTTTAAGATTCTCCCTTAGGACTCGCGCTCCCTGTGATTTCGGAGATAAGGAATTCCGAAAAGTTCACCTCCAAGTTAGAGTCATGTAGCTGTTTCTGAATGAAAGGACACACATGTAGAAATATCACTCAACATATTTTTTTCTGTGGCATTGGTTGGTAGAAAGATGAGTGATTACAAGAATTGGTGAATCAGCAGAAAATAAGTTTCCAAGGCCTCATATTTTTTTTTAATGATTAGACTATTCTACAGGTTAAAAATAATTTCTAGTACTTTTGTTTCTTGGCACTCTCGGAATTTATTAAACGTGAAAGAATTGCATTTGGGCCTTTAAGTTTAATACTGAGAAGCAGCCACAACCAAGGAATGGTACTGACTTCCTCTGAATAAAGCTGCTTTGATTGTCAATCTGTCGATTAGAGTGGTTGTGACGGATGACAGACTGTAGTGTCAGAGCAGGGCTTGGAGACTGAGGTGAGAAAAATCAAGTTGACCTGACACTGTCAATGTGGTGGAATCTCCCTTTGTATTGTTACAGTTTATAGTTCCCAAACTCCAAAGAATCCATGCTTGGGTGGGTGGAAGACAGGGACTTGTGAACCACCCTCTTCATCATCCAGCACTTTTTTTTCTTTTTTGAGTTTACATCTCCTTTTTTAAACATTTAAAACTTCCAATAGAAATAGCTTGAATCAAAATTTCCAATAAGATATAAAATATACAACTATACATATTCTGTATGACGTCAACATCTAATTCTTTCTATAGACTTATTTTTGTTCATACCAAAGCAATTTTAAATTTAACTCTAGATTTTATAGATATGAAGGCAAAAAAGTTAAACTTCCTAAGAGTATTTGAGAAATACTAAACCCTGATGCCTCTGTTTTCAAATATTTTCTTGAGTTTAGGCTTTCTCAGTTAAAGAGGTGATGACGCCCACTACCAGGATCATTGTAGGTCGTAACTCCATATGTGGGAACTGTGTATATTTTCCACCTTCATCTAAGGTTGAACCTCTGTAGTGTGGTTTCATCATTTAATCTGATGCACTATTAAACCCTCCACACAGTGTCCCAGAATGTTGGAATTAGAAGGTCGCTTGGGGACATGTAGACTTTTCTCCCATGTAACGTGGTAAACTGTTTTAAGGCATCCCTGAGAGACGACCACTTGGCCTCTTCTTGAATAATTCCAGTGACCAGTGACGGGGAGCTTACTACTGCACAAGGCAGCCCATTCTCTGATTGGTCTGCTCTCATTGTTACAATGTTATTCCTTATATTAAGACAAAACTGCCTCCCAGTAACCTCCACCCATTGGTCCTAGTTCTGACTTCTGGAGCAACACAGAACCAATCTACTAATCTACTCCCTCCTGTACTTGACAGCCTTTCACCATACTGGAATGTAAGTATAAAACACCTCACAAGTAACCCTAACCATAAATGCTTATACGTATGCCTATGCACATTCCCATGAATATATGTGATTACCTGTGCCAATGTTTTATCGGTTTTAATGGAGAAGCAAGAGCTGATTTATAGCGTGGCTACATGATTGCTACCCCTATCTGATTGGGCATGAAATTTGCATTTCATGATAAAAAATGCCACGTATTTGATAAAATGGAGACAATAGAATATAGAAACAATCTGTTATATTTCTTGTTAGCGCTAAATGAGATACACTTACACAGGAGTAAAACATTCATGTTAATGTAGCACTTTCTAGTTTGCAAAGCAGGCCCCTTACATTATTTTACTTAACCCATATGCAATATAGTCTTATTTCCTCCATTTTACTGCTAAGGACACCAGATATCTAGAAAAGTTACATGTACAAGGTCAAAGACTAGACAGAAGAATTAGGCCTTACTGACTTCTCAAACCTCGCATTACACTAAGCAGAGGCAGGCCTCGAGTCTATGTTGAAGTAATCATCTAGCTTTTGTCGAATGTATTTTGATATTTCTTCTCTGCTAAACACAAAACCAAGGCAGTAAGGAGTCACTTCCCCAGCCCTCTTCGTTCGAGGTGATGAGTGAGGTGTGAAGGTAATCTCCCGTGGAGGCTGCTGCACTGAATCAGGCCGACCTGTCTTTGGTGGTTGTGTTGAACTCTGAAAATGCTCACTAGTGCTTTACAGCTTTTCTTAGATGACTGCACTATTTCCTCCGCTTGGAATTCTCTTTTGGTTAACAGAAACTAGTGCTGAAAAAACGGAGCTCATTTTTTGTCTTCCTGAAAATATCTTCACAGAATTACTTTTGCAGAACATGATGCAACCTACCTAGATTCTCTGCCTCTCCCGCTGTGGCTGTGTGAGTGTGATTGTTGTGTGAATGACGTTTGAAGACTCCAAACCTGCTCCACAAATTACCAAGGACAGTCAATCACTTTAACCTCACACCATAGTGTCATGACCACAAGCCACCAGGCCCCTTCCACGAGTTCTTAGGAAGCCAGACTAGCGACACAAAAGCTGTTAGGAGGAAGGGCATTTTAAAGACACAAGCCATGTTTTGTGATTCCTCACCTCCCAGAAGGATTCTCCCTGGATGATCCACTAACACACCCTTTCCGAGGTGTTTTCTCAAGGGCCTCCACTGTCTTCAGCATCCTCTCATTTCTTTCCTGTCCCTTTTCCTAGCTTTTGTCCCTTCTCCCTCCCAAAGCTCCCAGATGCCTAGAGAAAACCTTCCAATTGTGTTCTCCTGGAGAAAGGCCCAAGCTCTGGAACTTTCTTCCGTTTACTCCACTCTCCCTCAGCCTTCAGTTATCTGCCCAGGTCTCCCAGAAATCAATGGAATAAATCTTTGGAGGTGGAATTTGACATATCGAGGGGAGGTATCTGGGTGTAGGGCAGATTACATGCGGGTAATGCTTTTCTTCCGCCTCCAGGGGTTTGGCTGAAAAGAAAGCACGCCTACATCTGCCTGGCAGCTATCTGGGCCTATGCTTCCTTCTGGACCACCATGCCCTTGGTAGGTCTGGGGGACTACGCACCGGAGCCGTTCGGAACCTCGTGCACTCTGGACTGGTGGCTGGCCCAGGCCTCGGTAGGGGGCCAGGTTTTCATCCTGAACATCCTCTTCTTCTGCCTCTTGCTCCCAACGGCTGTGATTGTGTTCTCCTACGTAAAGATCATTGCCAAGGTTAAGTCCTCTTCCAAAGAAGTAGCTCATTTCGACAGTCGGATCCATAGCAGCCATGTGCTGGAAATGAAACTGACGAAGGTAACTGCATTACTCTTTTACACACGTGTTTTCTGACCACTTAAAACTTCATAGGGTAAAAAGGATAGGGAATGCTGGAGACTGAGAGAACTTAGAATCTCTATTCTTTACATACTCCTGAACTCTGTGGATGATTGCCTAAGCCTTTCTTCGTGGTGTCTCTCTCCTCTGTTTCTGTCTCTGTTCCTCCCCTTCTCTCTTCTCTCTCTCTCTCTTTTACACACACACACACACACACACACACACACACACTCACACACACACATTTTAAATATCTACCAAATTTGTATAACCCATCCATTGGGGGCTTATCTTCTCTATGGAATAGGGTACCATTGATTCATATGCATTATTTCAGTAATAAGAATAACTTTTATGAATCATATAATGCCTGACAGTACTTACTGTGTTGCATGGACTTTGGGGCATGATTAGGGATATTCTACCACTCAAATTATTTATAGAGTAAGCGTTTACCATGTGTGCTATCCCAAGGGAAGCTTGTGTTAAGAACACGAGCAGTTTCTGCAAGCTTGAGTACCATAGTAAATGGTAGTTTCAGAGGTGGCAGTTCTTCAGATATTATAGAGTAAGGAAAATAACAAGACTAGAGTTTAATTCCATCACCAGTACCGGCCAGGTTTGTGACCTAGAGCTAGATATTTAGCTTTGTTGAATCCCTAGTTCCTCATTTGTATAATAGGAATAGTAATACAGTATCTGTCTCATTGGGTTATGGTGGGAATTCAAAGAGATAAAGCATATTATTCTGTCATTTGGTGCATAGAAGGTGTTAAGGTAACCGTGGTTTCTCCTTTTTCCTTATACCTGTTAGGAATTACTGGTAAAGTCTAAAGTGGTCTTCACACTTTCATGTTTTTTTCCCCCTATATTGAAAAAACATTTTCCGACACATGCACTCAATATAAATGACATACAGGTAATACCATTAAACTTCATATTAAATATTAGCACCCCCTAATTTTTGTCTTCTATTTTAAAGATAAAAATAAAGTTAGATTAAAGTTATAATTATTTCTTCCTGTATCTCAATCAATCATGTTAATTGGTATCCTACCCTTAAATGTTCTCACAATTCACTTTGGAGACCACTGGTCTCAGGGACCCATAGCAAAACAGTTCCCTCCAGATAAGAGATGGCTTCTTAAGTCAGAGCCTGGATTCTCATAATATTCCTTTCTCCAAATTGCAGAATTTTTGGAGTTGTGCAAAGATCTTTTGGTTGCATATTGTATTAGTCTGCTCTCACACTGTTAATAAAGATGTACCTACAATGGGGTAATTTATAAGGAAAGAGGTTTGATTGACTCACAGTTCCACATGGCTGGGGAGGCATAACATATCATGGCATAAGGTGAATGAAGAGCAAAGTCACCTCTTACATGTTGGCAGGCAAGAGAGTATGTGCAGGGGAACTCCCTTTTATAGAACCATCAGATCTTGTGAGACTTAATCAGCGTCACGAGAGCAGCACGAGAGTAACTCCCGTGATTCAATTACCTCTCACCGGATCCCTCCCATGACAAATGGGAATTATGGGAGCTACAATTCAAGACGAGATTTGGGTTAAGAGGAGAGCCAAACCACATCACATGCCATGAGCTAGATTCCTGATGGCTCCAGTTGACTGTTATGTCCAAACTCTACATGCCGAGTAGAGGAAGCTTTGAGGGAGGTTTTCATCACTCTAAATCTATACTGATAGCTTAATAATAGAATAGTTCTTGGATAAAAATGCAGCCTTAGGGAGCATGATCTTCTGTCTTATAATTGGCTATAAAGTAGGAAAATATTTTCATGAAATGAAGCATTATGAGTTAGGTTCTTCTTTTCTAGCTTTCCCTTTAGCTCTTATCTGCAACTTTCAAAAAAGAAATATAAATAAATCAATGCTAGTTAAAGTTGAATTATATGTAATCCAAATCCTGCTACTTACCAGGTACTATTTTAGAAACTGGGCAAATGTACCAATGATGAAGATTTCACTTTTCAATAGTTTGTGGAAGTATGCCCAGGAAACAATGTGTAGACATCCATCACACTGGTATGTGATGTTGAAGTTTACTTTGTTGCCCTGTAGTTTGACATAGTATACAGTTGCTGCAATGTCTCAGAATGTGCTTTCTTCTTGTAATCCCCCTCACCTCTCTGTTTGCCATCCCCCATATGTCATTGGCCCTGATACTTTGTTGCTCTTGCTCAATGAATCTGGATCCTGATTGCCAGGAGCCCTTTCTTCAGTTTCTCCTAGTTTGTTACCGATTGTCTTCTCTCCTGGCAGTTGAACTGCTCAACTTGACCTCCTTGAATTCTAGCATCTTGTCCTTTGTGTATTCTTGAGGAGTGAGAAGCTTGTTTAGTCAATGCTTCTGGAACTCATTATACATATGAGACAGAGCTCAGCATATACCATTTAATTTGATTTGTTATTATTCTGCTTGGCTTGGACTGGGCAGATCAAATAGGCTTGCCCTTGACCAGGTTAACCAAAGAAATATTAAATGAAGTGTAGGAATACATATATGTAATTTTGTTATGTATATTCTTTTAATTTATATACTGAATATTATATCATATAATATGTAATATATTAAGAATATGTATTAAAATAACCTAAATACAAAACATTTCTAATTATTAACATTTGTGCAGAAAATTTAAGCCAAAATTCAACCCATATTAAAAAGTGAATCTAGTCAATGTTTAGACCAGTAAGTGCTTCTAGAACTCATTATATGTATGAGTCAATGCTTTTGGAACTCATTATGCATATGAGGTATCACTCGGTGCATATGCCATTTAATTTAATTTGTTGTTATTTTTCTGCTTGACTTGGACTGGGTAGATCAAATAGGCTCACCCTAGACCAGGTTAGCCAAAGAAATGTTAATGAAATGTAGGAATACATATGTAAAATTTTGGTATGTATATATGTATATTCTTTTAATTTATATACTTAATAACATTATATAATATAATATGCAATATTATATTAATATGTCTATATTTCATTTATTTGTATAAACTTATATTAAAATAACCTAAATACAAAGTGTTTCTAATTATTAATATTTATGCAGAAAATGTAAGCCAAAATTCAACCCATATTGAGAAATAAACATAACTACTGTGACCTCTTCAGTACTACATTTAAACTATTTTTAATTACTGCTCAATTTTAACCTTGATTTTTCCTACTGAGTAAAAACAAGTAGAAACCACCTTATACTGGGCCCTTCCGTAGCCTTAGAAATCTTTTTGCTCATTTGGCTACTGTTCAGGATTGTCAATTTGCTTGCTTACTTGGCGCTTCTCATCTTCAGAACAGCGTGGTCTAAAAGCTGATTACTTAAAGGTTCTCTTCTGGGATTCTGGGATCAAAATCACTTAGTTTTCTGTATATTCTAATTATTTCTAGTTGGGTTATTACTGGGGCCAGTATTTTGCAGGTCTGATCTCATCAAGCTAAATGTTGGCATTCCGTCTACAACCTTTCTATACTTTGGGGCTTTCTTCTAATTAATTAAAAAAAAAAAAAACGGTTTTGCTAGACTTTTGTAAGCCTGAAATTTCACAGGCTACAAACAGAGGTATACTATGTGTATAAGACTATCCTTATATTTCTATGGCTCAACATGATCTCATTTCTATGCCTGTGTTTGACGTTGTAAAACTAATTTCTTATTGAACAATCAAGACAGATTCAGTCATATCAGTAATTTCTCTCCTCTTCCTAGGATTACCTAAAAGTTTCAGGAAAGTTTTCATGATGTCGGTGCTAATGGGTAGAGGACTCCTGGTCTGGGTGTTGTTATTCGTTGACCCTGGCATTGCTGAGATATTCAGGGTTTCTTGTGATCTTAGCTTTAGTTGTCATGGATCACTTTGCATCTTTGTTGTTCCAACTATAAGGCCTCTTTAGGCTCATCAGCACTGTATGCTACTTCCCCACCCTTCTGCTGCAACCCATCAGGTGTATCTTGGGTCTTGGCTGGGACACTGGGAAGTGAGGCACATGTTTTCTGCTTTCACATCTCTCGAGAGTTCTATTGTTTTCCCACCCCCATCCCTGGCCTTTGGTGCTCAGCTCAGTAGGGTAGGTTCAGGGCACCTTCTCAAGGTAGGTTACCAACTCCTCTGATGTCCCCACTTGCCTTTGGAGGGTAGGTCTTCTACCTATTCAGGAATGGGAAAACTGGCTCATATTTCCATGTACAGTCTCTAAATTTTTCACATAGTAATCTTAATGCCCCGAGTCCTTTAAGCCTCTGATTGTGGATGCTCATTTTTTCCCCCAAACTCAAAATCCTTTTTCTCAATTATTTTCTCTCCTGTGAGTTTCAAATTTCTGTTTTAAAACTCAGAAATTGAGAAATGAATGTTTTACATCTTTGGGTATTTTTGCTTCTAAAAACATTCACACAATGCAGTGAACACTCTTGCTGCTGATTAAACAAGGGGAATGACAGAGTCACTGCCAGAGGGGTTCTTCCTGCCTTCTGCACAAAGACCATGGCATTGCAATAAAGAGCTTAATAGACATGAGGCAGGCCACACCAGATGGGAAATGGAGTTAGTACCCAAATCAATCTCATTCAAAGCTTGTAGGTGAGGGATATCTCAAAGGCAGTTTGAGTGAAGGGGTGGGGATTGCTATGCAATGGGTGCTTGCTGCGACTGGTTGGGTAGGGGATGAAATCATAAAAGGTCGAAGCTGTTCTCTTGAGCTGAGTCTGCCCAGGGGGGTCATAGGAGTCATGGAATCCAGGTGGAGCTATGAGTGTCTGACATTTAAAAAAACCTGAAAAGATACCTCAAAAGGCCAATCTTAGGCTCTACAATAGTGACATTATTTGAAGGAGTAATTGAGGAAGTTGTATATCTTATAATCTTCAGAATAATGGCTGACAATCAGTTATGTCTGCACCTTAGCAGAACTCAGTCTCCTCCCCTCTGCCCTTTTGAAAACCTCCCATTAG